GCCGAGACCGCTTTAACGATCGGCGACTCGCTGTCTGACCATGCACCGGCTTCAACCACTTTCTCCACTGCGTCTGAGGCCCCACTGCGATTGGCAGGGGGTAGGAGGGGGGAGAGGGGGATTCACAACGCGAAAGATCACCTCTCGAAGAACACTTTCGATCGTTCCAAATAGACGCACTTCTGACTCGGCTCGGGATCGCAAACGAGCGTGAAACGGACGGAATACGCTTCACCGTCGTTGACTCTTGGCTTTCTCGATCTCGAGAATCGGCGACGATTTTCTTTTTCTTTTTTGCAATCGGCTACCGTTCACCACCGTCTCCTGCAATTCAAATGTTCCGTGGTCAGACACGAGGCAACGCGATACTCTACTGTGCGGACGACTTTCGATCGTGTAAATCGAATGGTCAGAGATCGATACGGATCGATCACTGATGGAGAGATAAAATCGGCAGGTTGATCTGTCGAAGGTGTAATGAGGTGAAACGAAGACGAAACGAAATGGTGTGGAATTTGTTGAAGCTCGAGTGTACGAGAATCGTAAAGGAGCGCGCGCAGACTCGGAGCACAGCGAGAATAGAACAATATACAAACGCTGCAACGTGTTCCGTGAAATTGACCAAGGCTAACATCCCGCTAACGATCGACGAAATCCTTTCAAAACGCGCGAAATCGTTGCTCCTTGCTCGTTTCGGGCGTTTCTATTAACGCGGGGAACAGGCTGGCGCGAGTTAATCTTACTGTATTTACTAGAAAACGTACTTTACTCGGACTTTACTCCGAGTTTCCGTTCGTATATTTCAACGTGAAATTACATACTTGAATCGAAGTAACTTGAAAGAACAAATCATAATTGTTAACGTAACAACTGTATGTTCGGCATCGTTTGAAATTTTAAAAAGACATCTCGAGCCTGGATTAGATATCGATCTTTGCATTGGTAAATTCGCAAATGTTGACTAATCTGAGCAAGCCTCGTGCACAACACAAAATGTGTAGAAAACGAGATTCTTCAGAAAATAATATGTATCGTTACGTTGAAAGACAATTTCTGATACCTCTTTGAAACGGCACTGTCTTTTGATT